TTGTCCTTTTCATATGTGTTCATTTTTTTAAATTGTATCTTTTGGTATATATGGTTGTGACTATTTTCTTCCACTATTTGATCTGAGGAAGTGGGTCTGGCCCACGAAAGCTCATCATCTAATAAACCATCTTGTTAGTCTTTAAAGTGCTACATTGTCCTGCATTTTGGTCAGTTAGGCATCGTCTATATCAGCAATTGAGCGATAAAGGTTTTGTGGTTCACAGACGGGGAAGCAGACAGCCATGCCAGGCCCCTGAACAAGGTCGGGGGGCTTGGTTCCATGCTCCTGAAAAAGAGGATGCCTCAGGTGGAAGGGACAGGGCCAAGGGCAGCCAGCAGTCAGCACCGCCCAGAGTGTGCTGCACTCCTCCACCCGAGTGCTGCCTGGGGCATGTTGTGCAGCAGCCCCAGCTTCTCAGGCAGCCCTAAGAGCCACCTGGAGATCACTGCGTGGCACTCTGCTAGTGATTTAAGGGCTCAGAGGTTTGGATGCCGCTGCTGCTGTAGCCTAGGCCTCTTTGAATCACCCAGCCCTGGAGCTGTTGACCCCTTCCCCTTTCCCTGTCAGTGGACCTGTTCACAGGTGAATAAACCCCCACCCTGTGTCAACACAGCCGGGCTGCTAAATGCTGGGTGGTGTAGACATGTCCTTAGTCTCTGTACCCAGCAAAAGCATTTTTGACTAACCTTGCTCAAGGAGCAACTGATATAGCCAGTGATTTTATTTCTTGATCTAGTCATTTTATTCAAACCCAGTTGAAGTAAACAAGTCTGGCAGAGAATTCAGTGTAAGAAAGGTTATTAAACTAGTGCCATAATGCAGGCTGTCAGTGACAAACACTTTGTCAAGGAGAGATTAGGCTTCAATTTGGTGCAGGTAGTCTGACTTTTTGTCTCTCTTTATACTGTAGACACCAAACTCCTTGCCATGCAGAGGAGAATCCATCTGACAATTCATCTATAGCTGTTGCCTGTTCAGTTCCATGGTCTTGGAAAATGCTATTAGTGCTTTAAGGTGAAAAGAGGGGAGGATCTTACAGAGGTAGGGGACAACAGCAGGGTGGGGAGGTGAGCTGCATGGCAAGTGGGGGGGGAGGTCTTGTGGTGAGTGGGAAAGGAATCTGGCAGAGGAGGTGAGGACGTGAGCAGCAGATGGGCAAGTGACAAAGGAAGAGGTGGGCAGAGAGGGGAACCTTGTAGAAGTGTGAAGAGGAGATTGGGGGAATCAACAGCAGCTGGCGGCAGGGCTTGGGGAAGAGTATGGGTGGAATGTAGGCAGGGCTATGAGCAGAAGATGTGGGACAAGAAGATAACCTCCCCCAGGGGAAGTTTCCCCCAACTCCCATGATAAATATATTAAATTATGATTGGCAGTTCTCAGGTTGGTATTTATCTGGCTCTCATCACTATTTAGTTTACTCATTCAAAACATTCAGAGGAGCCATAGAATAGGGTCATAATTCAAAATGATCTGGACAAACTGGAGAAATGGTCTGAGGTAAATAGGATGAAGAAAGATGTGGAGAAATTGGAGAAGGTCAAGAGAAGAACAAGAATGATTAAAGGTCTAGAGAACATGACCTATGAAGGAAGGCTAAAAGAATTGGGCTTGTTTGGTTTGAAAAAGAGAAGACTGAGAGGGGACATGATAGCGGTTTTCAGGTATCTAAAAAGGTGTCACAAGGAGGAGGGAGAAAAATTGTTCTTTCTGGCATCTGAGGATAGAACAAGAAGCAATGGGCTTAAACTGCAGCAAGGGAGGTTTAGGTTGGTGTGATGGGGCGAACAAGCCCCACACTAAAGAGCTGAGAATAGCCCAGGCCCAGCTGGCTGAAAGGGCCCCGCCCTTACAGCCCTGCTGGGCATGCTCCCAGCCGGGCCAGTATATAAAGCAGGCAGTGGCCCAGCAGAGGGGAGAGCAGCTAGAGGTCAGGAAGAGCCAGGCTGCAAATCCAGTGTTCCTGTGGCATCTTGGACTCAGCTGAAGGCTGGCGTGGGACCCCAGGAGTGAAGCCGACCCCAACCCTGCGGAGTAACGGGCACACCTATCCTGCTAGGGTGGTAGGAAGCGGCCCAGGTCAGAGGTTTCCTAATCCAGCTTGGTGCGTAGCGACTGGATTCCCCACCAAGCTGGCAGGACCTAGAGTCCCTGACCACAGGGCCCTGGGCCGGGTCCCGGTGGAGAAGGAGGGGCCGGGTCCCCCTACCACCCTTTGCTGCACCTGGGGAGTCACTCGAGCCTGGAGAGGCTTTTCCCCAGAACTAGGCCTGGCTACCGTATATGCCCTGAGAACCAGGCCGAGACTTTTGGGGATTTGGGGTACCGTATATGCCCTGAGGGAAGGGCCTGAGCAATGGGCTTAAACTGCAGCAAGGGAAGTTTAGGTTGGACATTTGGAAAAAGTTCCTAACTGTCAGGGTGGTTAAACACTGGAATAAATTGCCCAGGAAGGTTGTGGAATCTCCATCTCTGGAGATATTTAAGAGTAGGTTAGATAAATGTCTATCAGGGATGGTCTAGACAGTACTGGGTCCTGCCATGTGGGCAGGGGACTGGACTCGACGACTTCTCAAGGTCCTTTCCAGTCCTAGTATTCTATAAGTTTAATAAGGACAAATGCAATCACTCCACTTAGGAAGGAACAATCAGTTTCACACATACAGAATGGGAAGTGATTGTCTAGGAAGGAGTATGGCAGAAAGAGATCTAGGGGCCAGTGGACCACAAGCTACATTTGAGTCAACAGTGTGACACTGTTGCAAAAAAAGTAGACATGATTCTGGGATGTATTAACAGGAGTGTTGTGAGCAAGGCACAAGAAGTGATTCTTCCACTCTACTCTGCGCTAGTTAGGCCTCAGTTGGAGTATCGTGTCCAGTTCTGGGCATCACATTTCAAGAAAGATGTGGAAAAATTGGAGAAGGTCCAGAGAAGAAACATCAAAAATGACTGAAGGTCTAGAAAACATGTGCTATGAGGGAAGACTGAAAGACTTGGGCTTGTTTAGTTTAGAAAAGGGAAGACTGAGAGGGGACATGAGAGCAGTATTCAAGTATCTAAAAGGGTGTTACAAGGAGAAGAGAGAGAAATTGTTCTCCTTGGCCTCTGATGATAGGACAAGAAGCAATGGTCTTAAATTGCAGCAAGGTTTAGGTTGAACATTATGAAAAACTTCCTATCAGTGTGGTTAAACACTGGAATAAATTGCCTAGAGAGGTTGTGGAATCTCCATCCCTGGAGATATTGGAATAGACATCTATCAAGAATGATCTATACAATGCTTAGTCCTGCTGTGAGGGCAGAGGACTGGACTTGATGACCTCTTGAAATCCCTTCCAGTTGTAGTGTTCTATGATTCTATAATATGAGCAAGATTTGATCCCAAATATTTCAAGATTGCATTTCATGGGAATGCAGTTGTTAGCTCCAAGTGTTTGGGTGCATGTCTTTTTCATTGTTTCTGTGGGAAAGTTTGAGTGTAATACAATAGTGTATGGTCATTTACATTTAAAAACAGTACGTAATTAAAATGTTAAGTTTCTTAGGCCTTGTCTACATACACATAAATGTAACCTTTTAAAACTGATTTAGTTAAACCAGTGCAAGTTTGTATAGAAATACTATTTTGGGTTTTTTTTATTTTAAAAAGCAAGATTAAATCATCAGAGTTGTTAGTTAAATGTCCATGTTCCATGCTTTTAGGTAGAGCTTTGTTTCTTAAAGTGGCTCATGAAACCACTCTGAGAAATCTACTAACTGGCTGCTCTCGTGTGTTTATTTACTGGCTCCACAGCCACAGAGCCTTATGGCTCCCATTGGCTCTGGTTCGCTGTTTGCAGCCAAAGGGAGTCACAGGAAGCAGTGGCCTAGGTCACACCACTTCCTGCAGCTCCCCTTTGCTGCAAATGGTGAACTGGAGCCAATGGGAGCCATAAGGCTCTGTGGCTGTGGAGCCAGTAAATAAACACACGAGAGCAGCCAGTTAGTAGATTTCTCAGAGTGGTTTCATGGACCACTCTGAGAAACACTGAGGTAGGGGCTCCCTTCTGTGCACATAAATTTGTGCCACTTTCTCCTCCACTCTGCAAAACTTGGAAACATGCTGTGAGTAGGCACGGTCTGCTGATTCCCTGGCTGTCCAGCAGTCCTTGCCTCCTGCAGATCTGCTGAGAGTCATGTGGACTTCAGAATTTGTGAGCTAAAGGGACAGAATCCCCAGCTGTTTCTTCCAGGAACACAGTTTGTTGACACATTCTACAGAATTTATATAAAGTTTAGCACATTGAAACTCTGGAAATTTCTTCTTCTTTACTGACATTATTACAAGTTTAAAATACCCTACCCTCAGTTACATGTAAGCAACTCAACTAAAGACACTGAGTTTATTTTTGTCTTAGTTACATCAATGTCAATCTACCAAATTACTCCAGATTTATATTGGTGTAGCTGAGATCAAAAAGTGACATGTATAATATCTATTAATGGAATGGAATATAAGCAAGAAATAAGCCCTCTTGACTCACAGATCTCAAGGTGAATTTACAGAACAGACAAAGAAAAAAAAAGTGGTCCTGTGGTACCTTAGAGACTCACAAAAATATATAGATAGTATCATGAACTTCCATGGTCACAACCCACTTCTTCAGATGAGCTGGAAGCTGGGTTCCTTTTATTTCCACTCCAGCTTATCTGAAGAAGTAAGCTGTGCCCACGAAATACCATGTACATATTTTTGTGAGTCTCTACGGTGCCTCAGGACTACACGTTGTTTTTAAAGTTATAAATTAACATGACTACCCCCCTGAGACTTTTTAAAAAGAAAAATATAGTAAGCAGAGCAAATGTGTATGGGATTCTCTGATAAAAGCTAAATCTGTATCCATTATGTCATTTTACATAATTACTTTTGTTAGTAGAACTTTACTTCATCTGTTGCATCAAATAAAAACATAACAAATGCATTGTATTAAAAACTTACAATAAAATACACAACTTACAGTGTCTGCTTCTTTTCCATCAATCATCTCCAGATCTTTCAAAAACCACCTTTCAGTGATATCGTATTTCTCATCCAGACCTATTCTCAAGTGTTTCACTACAGATATTTCTACTTCTTCACCTTTAGTCACTGCAAGATAAAAAAAATTAATTTAACTGACAGACAACTGCTTTTCTCAATCTCTATTTCAGATAATAGTTTATAATAACTAGAGCTATAAAATTGGATGGGTTATTTGCACAGTGAGTAGAATTTTGTCCAGCATTTGCAGCTTATAACATTTATTTCCTTTCAATAGATTTTCCTCCCTCCCTTCCTCATGATGGAGGAAATAGCCAGACAACTGGCTGCGGTTACCACTGAAGAAAATGGCTGGAAAGTGGCGGGCGGAAACACCGCCAAAAGATGCTGCAAAGCTAATTCCCAAGACAGCCAGTAGGAGTCCCACCCTGTTACACCCCACAGAGGAGAATGTGGACAGCCCTGTCACCCTGACATAAGGGGAGGGCAGATAACTGTGGAGACCATTGCCAGGAGAAAGAGGGTTTGAGAAACTGAAGGGGAGGACAATGGTTCCAGTGTATGCAGGGAAACACCGCCAAAAGATGCTGCAAAGCTAATTCCCAAGACAGCCAGTAGGAGTCCCACCCTGTTACACCCCACAGAGGAGAATGTGGACAGCCCTGTCACCCTGACATAAGGGGAGGGCAGATAACTGTGGAGACCATTGCCAGGAGAAAGAGGGTTTGAGAAACTGAAGGGGAGGACAATGGTTCCAGTGTATGCAGAGGTCGTCTTTGCTGAGGATTCTTATGCCATTCCAGCCTGGACTCTGGGGTCAATATCCCAGCAGAAAGGAACTGACAGAAAACAGGGAAGACTTGAGTCCCTGCTGCAGGAAATCCTGGAGAACCAGCAGAAGCAATGGGAGGCATAGTACTACCTTGAGACTGATTTGAGACAGCTAGTACCAATAAAGCTCCTGCAGAGAGTTTAGTAGAAACCACAGAGGGCATTAGGAGAAGCCAGGCACCAGGTCTAGGAGGCCAATGACTGGAATGAGTGAATGTTATACCTGCAGGCAACAGGGATACTGGAAGAAAAAAATATTCTACCAGGATGGGGAACAGAAACATCACCCTGAGACCAGAAAAAGAAAGAGCCTAAGAGTCTCTGCTGTGAGGAGAACAGGGAGGTGATGTGTGTGTATGTGTGTTGTGCCTTAGAGCAACAGGGACACTGGCAGAGCAAGGCTGAGCAAGGGAGGGCCAATGGGAGTCCCATGGCCAAGGAGGATTAAAGGGTTTGCTGTTGGTGCCATGAAGAGAACGATATCAAAAGACACTTTCCCCTTTGGGGAAGGCAGATTAGGAAAGGGGTCCCTGGGAGCCTGGTTAGGTCAGAGAGTGTCACGGTAGATGGGTTGCAGTGATGATTGGAGACAGGGCAGATAGCCATCTCCTATGCCCATAAGGAAATGTTAAGGAGATGGTGGATATAGGGATGGGGACATAGGAAACCCAGGCAGACAAGGGAACCCACAATGAAGCATAACCGGCTGCTGTAGGGACTCAGACCCTGGAGGAGAGGATGCTGGGAGATCCAGTTGGCTAGGTAAAAGCTGCTTGCAGAAGAAGTTGGCAGCTGCTGAGGAGCCCTTGAAAGTGGCTGTGAGGAACTTAGAATTCCAGACCATTCAGGCCTGGTATGCTGTAGAGCAGTGTTTCTCAATGTTATTTGGCCACGGAATCCTTTTCAGCTTAAAAGAATTTCAAGGAATCCCTAGGGTTGCCAGGGTAAAATTTGTTAAGCAAAAAAAAAAAAAAAAAAAAAAAAAAACCCAAACCACCAGAATTGGCCAAAGGGAAAAAAAAGCTGCAAAATAGATTCTCTCTCTTTAAGAGGGGGCAGGGGAGTGCCTTGTTCTCGCGGAACCCTTACTTTCACTTCATGGAACCCTGGGGTTCCACAGAGCACCAATTGGGAAACACTGATATAGAGGAGAAGGAAAATGTGTATTTGCTGCTGTAGGTGTAAAAAAAGAAAGGGTGAATCTGAAGGTTCAGGTTAGACAAGTACAGGGCAGAAAACAGCCCTAACCCTCTGGGTTGCAGTCTTAAGGTGGAGGGCATGTAATGAGGAGGCTGTCCTTCACTAGTAAAAAAGGGGTTAAAAGCAGCTCTAGAGAGATTGTTCCAAGGCAGCCAATTAGAAAAAGGCTGAAAGGTGTTGCCAATCTTGGCCTGGCAGGCTCATATAAGACAGGGCAGGACAGAGTCCAGTACAGTAACTCCTCGCTTAATGCTGAAGTTATGTTCCTGAAAAATGCTAGGTTCCAGGATTTTTTTCAGCAAACAAAAGGTAGTATGTACATATACAGTATACATTTTAAACAAGTTAGTACTGTACACAGCATTGATTGTGAAGCTTGGTTGAGGTAGTGGAGTCAGAGGTTAGACTATTTACCAGGGAATGTCTTGCCACTAAATGGTGAACTAGCACTCCACTGAGCCCTTAGGGGTTAATGTTATTAATGTAGCCTCACACTGCAGAGGCAGCATGGACTGACAAAGGAGGAAGGAAACACAAAAGTGGCTGCAAACACTTCCCTGCAGAAATGGGAGTGGGGGCTCAATCGGGGCAGAGGGTACATACTGACATCAGCACCCCTCTTCCTCCACTGTGCCCAGCAGGTAGGAGGATCCGGAGGCAGTTCTAAGACAGAGGGTAGGGGCAGCACAGCAATGGGGGGGGGAGGGAGGGAGGAGGGGAAGGCAGATGAACTTCAGCTGCCCAGCCACATACCTTATAGGGAACTTAAGGAAGCTGATGGAGGTGTTGCCAAACCCCCACAAGGACAGGCTGCTTTTGCAGAAAATCCTGCGAGTAGTGGACAAAGCAGGCAGCAAGATGACATAACAAGGAAGCATTGGCCAACTTTAAAACAAGCATGTGCTCTAATAGATAAGCAACGTAACAAGGTTAACTGGGGCAATATTAAGTAAGGAGTTACTGTAGCTGACCAGAGCTTAAAGGGAGAAGCCCAGGCTCCTAACAGGAGAAAGGAGTGCCATACTTGGTTATTGGACACAGAAGTGCTGCCAGCAGGGCCCAGGGAAGCTAGAGAGAGCCCCTGGCGAGGTGCTAAGACAGGCAGATTGAAACCTTGAGGTAAGGTTGAAGGAGGACTGGAGGCTGCAGGGAAGCAGTCCAGAGAAAGGTCAGAGGGGACACAGCATGTGGCTGTCATCTCTACAGGATCCCAGGCTGGAACCTAGAGTAATGGGTGGGTCCAGGTTTCTCTCCCCTTCCTCGCCATTGAGGAAGTAATCAGACAATTGGCTGTGGTTGCCACTGATGGAAATGGCTGGACAGTGGGCTGCCATTCCCGCAGAAGGGGAAGAGAACCAAGTGAGGGACAGATGTGTCCCAAAGAGGATGCTGCAGTCCTTGGGGTGACGGGTCCAGGAGCAGAAGGAACAGTGGGTAAGACAACAGCAGGTGCAGAGCTAATTCCAAATACATCCAGTAGGAGGTACTGTAGTGATGAATCCCACTCTATCACAGGCCTGTAGAAAAAGGGTAAAGAACAGATACTATAGACACAGCATACCTCAGGAGCACTGTGTGCTTTAAAATATAAATCATCTGGCAATAACTTTTCTTCCTATCAAAATTTATTTTGTCCTGCTTTGTTAGCAAGAAATTGGTTATTCCTATGAAGGACATTTTACCCTTTTTGTGAAACACTTTACTGTGCTTTAAAAAAATAACCAGGTTAAAAAAAACAACAATTGTAGGACTGATTTTGCCAACCCTTGCCAAAATACATAACTCCATAACTTCAAGAGAGACTTCTACAAGAATTATTCCCATACGCAAAGGTTTACTGAGTCAAGCCCCTATTTCATCCTAAAATACAGAGACAAACAAACCCAAAACAAAAAATACACTGGATATATTTTTCCTGCAAATATAAGTAAAACTGGGTGGCTTTTTTTATTAGACTATATCTTCTTGGCCCTGTCTGTTGGAAAACAACACTAATTACTGGATTTTCTTGTGCTAGACTTCAGGCTCCATATACAAGTTGAAATCATGTGATCTCTGGGTGCGTCTACAGATCACCCTAAACTCGAAATAAGATACACAATTTGCATAGCGCAAATTGCGTATCTTATCTTGAATCTATTTCAAAATAGCTTATTTGAAATTTGGCACATCTACACAGCACCAAATTTCGATATAACACGCTATTTCAAGCCACCCCTTATACCTTGTACAATGAGATTTACCTGGATGGCGAAACAGCATGCCCATTATTTTGAAAAATATTTTGAAATAATGGGCGACATGTGTAGATGCTGGGTAGTTATTTCTGGATAGCAAAGGAATCCTGAAATAGCCATGCAGTATAGACAAACCCTCTGAGAAGAACATGTTTTAAGGAACTGCTGTAGAAATAGTGAAATTCTAGCTCATCCAAAATATGCCCTCAGTTCTGTGATAGTTTAGGTTATCCATGCTCCTATTCATCATACTCCCTTGAAAAGAACTGTATCACATCAGCTTTCTCACATTTCCCATGTAATTCAAGTTTGAAATGTCTTCTTTGGGGAGACAGGAGACTTTACAGTGATTTAGGTTGTTTCCTAGAGTGTTTTACAAAAGAAATGCAATTTGGGAATGTTTAATCTTCCAATGGAAGGTGTTTAAGATGTCATTGCAATCCCACCTAAAAACATCAAAACACAGTTGCTAAAAAATGCTGGACATCTCTGCATTTTAGTTTTGCCACTAACCGGATTGATTAGTGATTCAATGGAGGGGAGTACAAATAGAAACTAATTTCCTCATCCCAGATTTTCACCATTTGTCTCTATGAAAGTGAAGACAGGGAATACTGGGAATATGGCATAGAAATACCAACATTTATCTACCCATATTATGGTTTTGTTGTAGTATAGCTTTAAATGGATCAGGCTTGTAAAGGTTTCTGTTTGCATCTGTGCAAATATTTACAATATTTTCTCTTTTTTACAAGCTAGTGACAGGTAAGGTACAGGCTAACCAGTAAGAATAAACTGAAACTGCATTGCAAGAATAAGATTTGAGTTAGAATGTTTTCATTTTACATTAACTGTGCTGCTAAAATATACTTGCTATTTGTAAAGAAATAGGAAATATTTGGCTGTATTTTAAAGGTTTCCTATTTTTTATTTTTTACATCTTCAAAATGAACAAAAATAAATTGATGTCAGAACTGACAAGATTTGTTAAAATAGAAAATTCAATAACAAATATAACAAGTTTGGCTCCTTTCCCCCTAATCCCTTATGAGCGTTTGTGGGCACAACCCACTTCTGATACCATCTACATTTTTTGTTAGTCTCTAAGGTGCTGCAAGATTATTTGTTATTTTTAAAGTGTTTTTTTCAGTTACAGACTAACACAGCTACCCCTTTGAAACTTTTAATCCCTTATGGTTACTGCATAAAGAAGCCTCACATTCTGACATTATCTGATATTACTGGTAGTCACTATTCAAAAAACTTGCAGAATTAGAAAGGACTGTTTAGGTCAGGATTAAAGACTGAATCTTGCAAGGTGCTAAGCAATTTGAACTCCCAGGCTATGTCTACACTTGCGAATTCTTGTGTAAGAACATCCTGCGCAAGGGTTCTTGTGCAAGAACTCTTGTGCAAGAAAAGTCCACACTGCCATGTGCGAGCTGTGCTTTTGCACAAGAGCGCCCATGGCAGTGTGGATGCTCTCTTGAGCAAGAAAGCTCTGATGGCCATTTTCGCCATAGGGCTTTTTTGCATAAGAAATCCCTGCCGAGCGACCACACTGCCCTCCTGCGTAAGAGCTCCTGTGCAAGAGGACTTACACCTGAAAATAAAGAGCGTAGCGCTTGTGCAAGAAGCCCTCTCTTACCACGCCTTACTGTAAATTTCTTTGTGCAAGAGAAGGCGGGCAGTGTGGACGCTATGGGGATTCTTGCGCAAGAACGGCCATACTTGCACAAGAAGCCAGGAGTGTAGACATAGCTCCAGTGATTACAGTAGGAACTGGAGGATGCTCACCAACCTTCAGGATCAGATTTATGCTGTGCCTACCACTTATCCAACTATGCTGAGTGGATTTTACATATACTGAAAATTTAAAATGGAGTATATTTTCCATTATGTCTGCAGAGATCCTCTTTTAGGTGAATTTGTCTAGATAGTTTCTTTGCTCACTTGTTCTTTTTATTCTGTGGAAACAACACTCATATTTCAAAGGTGCTTTTCCTCTCTTTTCACTTTGAATGTACTGTAAAAGAACTGTAGCTTGATTTTTTTAAAGTTGATTTGTCACAGTTGTTCAAACTATCACAGTTCACAAAAATTCCTGAAGCCTATATGCAGCTCATGGTTTGAACCTCAAGAACAAAACGGGATTGGAAAGTATTTTTCACTTGTACCTACTAATCATAATATTTAGAAATTCCCTAATTTCGAAAATCCTTTAGTGATATAAAACAATCAATTAAATTTTATTTTGAAATGTATTTTATTAGGTAATACTTGTAAATGCCTATTTAATAAAGTAATATAGTAGATACATTACATTCAAGTAATGAAGTTCTGCCACCCTGAATAATCTTACTTTATTGTAGTAAAACATTTACAATCCCTTGGCTTAAACAAAGATGTACTTTAGGGAGAAACAAGAAACAATACATAAACACAAAAAGGAGGGCTGGAACTGCAAACACTCCAAAGGAAAGACCAAGAAAACAAATGTTTACTGAAACATCACGTTATGATTATTTATAAAAATACATTTAGTATTATAAAATAGCATCAGTCTTTTAAAGGCAAATTAGCTACACCAAATATGCTTGCAAATTGTGAACAGTTTTCTAACATTCTATATGGACTATCTCATTTCCTTGTGGATTAAAAACAACTGCATTTCTAGTGCCTTTCAGAACTGGTCTGATGCAGGAGAAAATGCATACTCTTTTCCAACCCTATTTTCAAATTCCTTAACATGTTGCCTATAACTTTCCAAAGCTGCAGTGATTCTCATCAGCTCAGTATGTTTCATGCTGTAGACAAGGAAAAACCCTGAACTAGATGTCTCTGTGGTTCTCTTTGCACTTGAGAGACAAGGCTAATGGTTTCAGGCTCCTCTTGCTTTATGCATGTCCACATTAAAGACTGCAAAGGAACTGCTTGATTGAGACTGACAGCAGAGACATACTCTGCAACATACTCTCCTGTCCCAAAAGATTCCAACCCATTTAATGCCATTAACTACAGCTGGAGGAAGTGTTGCAGTTTAGTTGCTCGCCACTTATTTCAAATACATTCTCGCATTATTGGCTCCGCTACTTTTTATTCAGGCAACGTTCCCACTAAAGTCAATGGGAGTTATGCCTGCATTTGATCGTTAGGGATCAAGCCCTATATATACTATTGCCCAGCATCACAGGGCCAAATTTTTCTGACTTACCCTTTTCTTGTTCAAATTATTGATTTCAGTGCAGTGGTGATGCTATAACACAGGGAGGCAAATTTTTCACTCTCCTTCCTCTGCCAGGTTTGTATCCAGTCTCACCAATGCATTAGGAAAATGAGTTGGCTAGGTCTCTCCAGTTACTGTTCTACATTGTCACTGGCTTTATTTCCACAGTTACCAAACATGACATGACATTGTGCTTGGTCCCCAGGCTGCTCCTAAACAGCCTCCTGCGCAAAGCTCGGCTCCTTCCTACAATTATAATCTGTTGCACATGCTGTGAATTAATGAAAGTGATGCTTTAAGGCTCCTACTTAACAAAGGAAGAACCTGTATGGAGGCCACCCCTTCAGACAACAGCCAGGCTCGACTGTAAAATGCAGGTTAAATTTGTGTCAACATGTCCTGGAGCGATGCCTCAGACACCAAGCTCCTCAGGTGCAAGGTGAGGAGGCTGGCACCCAGCAAGCATGGGTAGCTGACAAGGGCTCTGCTTCTGTGCCAGGGTTTTTACTTGTATCTACACTTGGTTTGATACCAAAATTCATTTTGTTCTCTCTTCCCTGCTCAGCCCAGCATAAGAACATAAGAACAGCCATACTGGGTCAGACCAAAGGTCCATTTAGCTCAGTATCATGTTTGCAGACAGTGGACAATATCAGGTGCCCCAGAGGGAGGGATCACAACAGGTAATCCTCAGATGATCCCTCCTCTGTCTCCCACTTGCAGAGAAACAGAGGCTAGGGACACCATTCCCATCCATCCTGGCTAATAGCCATTGACAGACCTAACCTCCATGAATCTATCTAGCTCTTTTTTGAACCCTGTTAAAGTTCTAGCCTTCACCACATCCTGTGGCAAGGAGTTTCACAGGTTGATCGTGCCTGGAGTGAAGAAAAACAGGGAGAAGCGTGCCGCTTTCAAGTCAGTCACGCTAGGCCAAAATGCTAAGCAGAAGGCTGATTAGTTAAAAATCTGATAGGAGCTCTCCTGGGCCACTTCCTCAGAGACCAGTGCTCACTGGCCCACCGACCCACACGGCGCCCCAGGATCCCCGCAGGACAAGTCTCTGCTCTAGCCAAGGCAGCTGTACCGACCTCCCGGGGAGAAGAGCTCGACGTAGGCGTCAGAATAGCTCTTCATTAGAGCAGCACCACGCACGGGCAAGTAGCCCAGGGCAGGCCAGCCTGGAAAGTGCCAGGCCAGCGCGCTAGAGGAAGGCTCCTTGAGTCCCACCCGAGGCAAACGTTCCGCTCCCGCTGCGGGCAGAGCCGGCCGGCCGGGCAGTGCAGCTGTTGGAACTAACGCGCCTATTGACCGACGCAAGGGAGGGGCCGGGGCCCCGCACCGCTGGCAGGCTCGCTGCAAGCCCACGGCCCGGACGCGCGTGGGAGGGGGCGAGAGAGCGACCCCCGGCGTTACCTGCGGCGCAGAGGTAAAACCTGTCGGGGGCCGAGCACTCGATCTCTATGAACTCCTGCAGGCGCTGCCCTTGCGGGTGAAACAGCTTCTTCTGCAAGTCCTCCTTCACCAGCGAGGACATGTCCGTCGCGGCCGCCGATCCTGGGGACCGGCCCTTTGCTGCTCCCGAGCGGGCCCCCGCAGACACTCTGCTCGAGCCCCAGCCAAACCTCCAACTTCCCAGCCGCCTGCCCAGAGCGTCCGCCACGCTCAGCGCCCAGCCGGAGCGTGGTGGGGGGACATTCGCGCCGAGGGTGTGACAGACAGATCTAGCCCCCTGGCTGCTACCCCGCGCAGGCATGCTAATCTCAGACCTTCCCCAAAGCCCCACCACCTCGTTTCGATCCCATTACCCATCAGTTAACAGCTGACTCGAGGTATCGATTGGGATCATCTTCCATTAAGAATATTACCACTGGCAAGAGGAAAAGGCAGAAGCAGGGCTATGGGCTACCCATCCACCCGTTCTCTCCCCCCACCCACCGACCCTCACCAACCCCCATCTGAACACTGAACTTTCCCCGCCTGTCTGGTACATCGCTTCACAGCCAGTCAGTTCTCGGCTCCAGCCCGAAAAGTGGCTTCAGTTTTAGCCCAAATCAGGATTCTGTTCTCGGTTAAAGCAGGGGAAATCCAGCAGACTCCGGGCTGTTGTTTGGAAATCTAGTCTTGCAAACGGAGCCCGTCCCTTATCATCATACAAGGTGTTTGCAGCAGTCACTGCTGTGCCCTGTGAGACACCTTTTCAAAAATCCACACCCACCTCCTTCTGGGATGAGCTTTCCTTTGTCTTCAAAACGAAGTCACACCTCATGTCAAATTAAAGGTGTGTCAGACCTGTCTTCTTCCACCTCTCTGTTTGCAGGGGTTGGAAATTGTGTGTACACTAATTTCTGAGATTAGGGTGGAATATTTTTCAGTCTCACTAATTTTAAAGAACTAAGAGCTCTACCTACCCTTCAGCAATGTGCATGTGCGAAACTCATTTAATTGTACAGTTTATATTAAGCTGGCCAGTCATTACTTTTGCACACTGGTAAGAGGTATGCAGAAATTTGTCACTGAGAAGACATTGCAAAGTTTCTTTTATTTGGAAGCCTGGAGTTTTAATTGAGATTTATAGAACTCTGAAGGTATTTTGGAATCTGAGGAAGGTGCTCTGTCTGCCATTTACTGCAATGGGATAATTGAACTAAAAGGCAGACCTTACAATCAAACAAAAGTTACAGTTCTTTATATAGCCGTGTGCAACCTACTTCTTCAGGAGACGATGAAGAAAGTCAAATAGTTAACATCTTTAAAAGATCCTGCATAATTTTATGACCAGTAATATGATATCTGTCATTATGGGACAGCTAAGCCTCATGCTTCTATAAACTGGTTATCTGCTTGAGCTTGGAAAGAATCTGCTTTCCTCATGTAACAGTATTCACCATTGTCCAGATGTGTTTCTGGAAAAAGAGGAAGCCATCCTTTGAAGAGTGATATACCCTTTTGGAAGCAGAATGCCAGAGATATGGCTATGCTTCTGACCTAGTATCGTTAACTATGCTTGTCATTGAGCAGATGTATCTATAAGATTTCTCCGCAGTACAGGATCTCTTCATTTCAAACCCTGCAGTAGACAGAACTAGGATTATCCAACTTTGTAACAGCTGGATGTAGGTGGCAGCAATTATTTCTATTGTTTTCATATCACATCCAACAATGTGGTATTTCAGTACCTCATTTATTTTTCATTTCTTGTATTCTCACCCAAATCATTTCACCATTTTCAGGCAATTTAAAGACCGTACCCCCCACTTTTTCTTCCCTTTACATAGATTTTACCAATGGATGTTGAGTTAATGTTTTTCAACTTTGAAAACTCAAAGGAAACATTTTCATTCACTTATTTTCTTAAATGAAATAAGTTCTTTAGTTGCTATATTGCTGGATCACATTTAAACTTTTAATTTGCCAAGTGATTGTCTTTTTTGACTGTCTGAATCACACTGGTGCTGCTGCTTCTAGTCAGCCCATCTTTGTTGCCTGGTGGAAGATGCTTAGCACGTCTTCCTGAGGCTTTAATTGTAGTTTTAAAATAATGTTGATTGCAATACTTCTCTTCTACAGGTTTTGTGTTTCTGATTGTTGCAAGGAAACATGAGGCCAGAGTGTGATCTCAATTAGTAGGATATAAATCTGTAGTAATACCACTGATTTTTGCCTCTGGCCTGGGGACTCCTGCAGTGAGGATTTTGCAGGTGAGTTTTGAAGCTGAAGAATTTCTTTTCAGAAATAGTTTTGTTATTGTTACTAATATTCTGTAGCAGCATAGATATACTTGGTGGTTTGCTGACATGAAATAAGATGCAGGCACTGACTTACAGGCTTTCACATTGGGAGAGCCTAATTCTGCTCTTGCTTCCTCTTGTGTAAATTGGGAGTAATTCCAATGAAGTTATGGTAGTGTAAAAGTACTGTGTGTTTTTTTGCAATAAGCTACTTTAATCATGGGGTAAGAAGAAAGAATACAACAAACAACCACAACATTTGAATTGCATAGGTTTGATTTGCGCTGCGTTGGTTCCATGTTTTTTGAAATATATTTGTGAGTCTGAAGTCTATAGTACCTTTTCTTCTACTGCAGGACTAAGGCCCAGCAGTTGCACCTGCTCAGTCTCCTGCCACCCTAACAAGCTGTGCCATATTAACTTGGCTGGCTGATAGATAGACTGCCTCTCCCGAATGGCTGAGGAAGCTAGTAGACCTATTCTTAAGCCCTGCAATTCTGTGTACATGTGGTGGAGTCTGTCTGCTGGTGCCTGCCTTGCTTCTGTCCCGTACCTAGCGTTGACCCCAGCCTCCACCTGGCCTTGCTCTAGTCCTCCTGTTCCCACCTCAGAACGAGCCCTCCTCCTGGACTCTGCATAAATTTGGCTCGGACCTCTTTATTCTTCGCTCTGACTCTGCTTTGACCCTTGATTCTGGCATTTGGAGAGTACCTCTGCATTTGACTCCTGCTCTGATCACTAGGTAATATTACCCATGACCTGGTTTCTTGATATGTTACTGATTAAACTGGATTAATCTTGAACAAACAATTCTTATGCCCAGATCCTTGGTTACAATTAAGGAAAGCACAGCATAGTTTAGCAGGAGTGCAAAGGTGGTAGCTTCTGTGCCTCCCTGATCCTGGGCTTCTGTATGCTAGGCCAGACCCCTGACATAACTTAGAGATGCCTATGGCTGATATGGACAGCTGGGGGAAAGCAAGGCATAAGGATGCTCAGTTCCCTGGCCAGGATATCTGTGCTAGGAAGGAGTTGGTGTAAAGGATCCACAAATACTTGATCTTGATCATCTGAGGATGCCCTACACTGCAATATCCTCATGTGGTTAGTATGCCAGTTCTATGGCCAGATTCTGCCATTGGTTACCTTTAATATTTTGAAACAAAAGTAATGTGCTTATTAATCTTACTGTGTGCAATTGTTTATGCTGCTTTCAGAAACAATTGCATTGACTTGACCTCAGTGTAACTCTACTGACTTCAGTAGAGTTACATCTAATTCTCACCAATGTGAAAAAGGACTTAAGTCCCCTTATTTCACTGGCACACTTTTCTGCATAAAGATAGTGATGCTACACAGTAAGATTAAGAAACACGTTGCTTTTGTTTCAAAACATTAAAAGGCCCTATCTTAAAAAAATCTGTTTTCTAGATTAGACCTTGTCAGGAGTTTAAAAAATGATTGACACTGTACAAATAATGAAGCTGTCTGCAGACATTTTTAAACACTCTGAGATGACAATTTGCATGGCTTTGTTCTCAGCCAGGCACCATTTCAAATATCTGAGTTATGAATCAAGCCATCAGATATGGAGGTTGCAAATGCATAAAAACATGCAATATTGCACAGTGAGATTTTGCGGAGTGAACTTATTGAAAGTTATAAATGCAGCTGCTGTCAGTTCAATGCACTGTCATGCACATTAACAAAATTCTCATAACAGATTTGCACGGTGAATCTACATTGATTATCTGTTCTCTTCACATGCATCGGACTCCCTTGGCATATAGGCCAAATATAGATTGGCATATAGGCCACAGTCATAATCCACTGTGTGGATTCAGCAAGAGCCTCTAGATCAGTGGTCCCCAACCATTTGAAGCTGCCGGGTGCCAGGGGTCGTGGCCGTTCACCTGCTGGGCACCAGAGGGCGGGGACACTCGCGCACCCGAGGGCGGAGCCGCGCATACGCCACACCCCCATGAGCCACGTGCCTGGGGCCAGCAACCTTATGCGCTGCGTGACCATGGGCGGGGCCGCCCATTTGCAGCAAGCCTGGGGCCAGCGTCCTGCAGAGCCACGTGCCCAGGGCCAGCACCCCCCCCCATAGCCACGCGCCCAGAGCGGGCACCTCTCCCCGAATAGCTGCGTGTCCGGGGGCAGGGATGCCAATTTGCTGTGCTCCCGGGGACGGCACTCCCCACAGCCGCGTGCCTGGGGGCCGGGGCGGCCACTACGCTGCGCTCCTGGGGCCGGCGTCCCCCATAGCCGTGCACCCAGGGCACGGGCGGCCAATTCGCTGCGCTCCCGGGACCGACGCTCCCCATAGCCGTGCACCCGGGGCGTGGGCGGACAATTCGCCGCGCTCCCAGGGCTGGCGCTCCCTGTGAACCATGCGCCCGGGGCCGGCTCCGGCACCGTGCATGCGCCACGTGCCCGGGGCGGGGCCAGCCCCGAGCACTTGGCGGGCACACACAAATGCCCCCGTGTGCGCCATGGTGCCCGCGGGCACCGTGTTGGGGACCACTGCCCTAGATAGACTGTTTATGCGCTCACTGGGCGGACTAGGGCAATACTTTCTGTCCCGTAACTTCAGGGAAGATTTAAAAAATAATTTACTCGGTCAATTTATCTATTATTCCTTTTTTGAGTATTCTCGTGTTTTGGATTGGAATTCTTTTTTAAGCTTACAATTCAGAGTTGTTGTAGAGTGCATCCATAATATAAAAAAGCAGCTAGTAATCCTCCCACTCTTACCACCCATAGTAATATGCCATCTCTTACCACCTTTGCATCAATCTATCCGACAAGGATGTGTGGAAGCTTCTTCTGCCTCAGACTTCAGTATT